CCCCAAAACCCCAAAACCCCAGAATGAAAAAAATATACAATTAGACGGAAAATTAATATTAAGATTTATAAATTGAAGTAATTACATTAATAGCTTGCTGCATCTTTTGATAGCAGTTTAAAATATTGACTTCAAATCAAGTATATAATTTTAAAATATAATGACAGAAGTCAACTTACTAAATAAAAATAGTTAAGAGTAAAATAAAAAGACCAAAGGTATGATCTTATCTATATAATCTTTGGTTTTTCAATAGTTACAGGCAAAACTTTCTTTGAATAAAAATTGGACTGGCTAGATCCTGAGAAACTCCCTAATAATTGCAATCCTGATTACTATTTTTAATAGATTAGCTACTACATTGATCTTTCATGTAATCAAACATTCATAATCTTATTATTTATCTAGAGATCTATAGAGTTCATTCAACATGCTATTATAATAATTAGATGTCTTTCTGCCCAATTCTTATTGAATTAATTGAAGGTTATATTAGTGAAAAACACAATAAATCTAAATTTTTGCTTCAAGTCTGGAATAAAGACAAGATAAAAGTCTATGAAAAGTACCTCAAAGGTAAAATCTTGAAACGTCTAAAAATAATTTATCAAAAAATCTGTTCTTATAGATTTAATTGGAATGTGGGATATATGTTTTAACTACTTCGTTTATACTTTGATTGAAGAGGGTAGCAATCCGCCAGTTTATATTGTTGATCTATCTAATTAGAACATGACGGTAATTGTCAGAAACTTGAATTTTGATTCTTCAGGTAACAGATACTTATTATTAATTTTCTCTTAGTTAATAAAATATCATTCCATAATTATTACTTGTATTGTGCCTCTGAAAATTAAATCTATGTCACAAAGATTCTAGAAAACACGTTTTAACTCAATAACATAATGACAATAGATGCTAAGTCAGGGAGAGGATTAACTACTAAAACTATCAATGCCAGAATTGTAGCTCTATCTATACATGTTTCAGAGTAGCAAGATTAGGCATTCATCTTTGAAACTCCAGATAATTAAATAGAAATATATAAAATTCTTCTCGAACTTGACTCAAATTATTAACTAATGGAACCATCATTTTAACAGCTAAGAGAGGTTGCACCAAGAGAAATTATTTTTAGAGATAAAATCAAGATATTTAAGTTCGTCATTCAAAATGGTAATATGTTTGGATGTGTATTAAGAGAATCAGGTGCGTTAGATTTGTATCAGAATTGGATAATTGTAGAATCAATTGATAATTGTAAATTAATATTTTAATATCTAATAGAGAATATAACGAAAATAAGTTTGAGTATGGATAGCTTCTTCTTCAAGAAGTATGATGGTTCAATAATTACTTTTGATCACAATGGCAATAAACAAATTTCTTTCGACTCTGCAAGATTAATTGAAGAAAAGGAATTCAATTTCGATTAAGTTTTCCTAAAAATTATATAAAACATAGTGAAGCTTTACTCAGGATTTAGTATAATATACTAAAAGGGTATAGGAACTCTCTTAGTTATTACTCATTCAAACTACATCTCTGTTTACAATATGTTATAGTAAAAGTGGTTCTACCACTATCGTTATGAAATTGAAATAATCTGTTTATTCACTCATTTTGATGGAAAGAACAATTTATAACAAGGAATTTTATGTTAAAACGGAGACATTTTCATGGGATAAACAGATAAGAAAATTGTACTAGATAATGGAATCATTAAAAAATCAAATACTGTTCCTGGAAAGATTATAAAATGGCACGCTGACATATAATTTAACTAAACTCTATATATACTTGTATAAGATAAGAATGAGTATATCTTCTATGCTTTAGTGAGAAACACACTTAGGAAATTAGATGTACTCTAAAGAGTAGATAGTCAATCAAATTTACTTTAAATTCAGTCTGATGATAAATAGAAATTTTTACTATTGTAAAATAAAAATGAAATAATACTCTATGCCCAAACAATTAGCTAACCCGATAATACCGTCTTACTTGATAAAAAGAAAATAATATAAACAAAGGATATTCTTATAGTTGGATAGATCCATTCAGGCTGCTCTTATGATCTTAATTAGTATTTGATCATTTTTGACTAATAAAATATGCACTTAATTAAAATAAACGAAGATGATATTGCTGTTACATCTTTCATGAATGTTAACTGTGTAGGCATATATAGCTTCAACGCTTAATTTAATTATGCTCTTTGCTAAGATGGGACTGGATCCCTATTTCCAGGGTTAAGACAATTCAATATGGATGCTATTGTTTCTAGAAAGTAACTTAAAATGAACCTTCTAAAGAAAATTGATGTTGGTGCTCTTGGTTTATTTGTGCATGGATCTCAAATATCAAGAATAGCTTTTATGAATTCAATTACTAATATAGTTATATGCCCTATTCTTCACTAAAATACTCATAAATACTTTGGGATCAAGAATTTGCCTGACTATAAGCTCTTCAATGTTTTAAATGGGAAATTCTTGGCAGTTTTAAAAGACTTAATCTACACATGGGACATTTACACTGCTAAATACATTTCAAAAGTACCTATAACTGAAATTTCCTTGGAAAAATATGATATTATCGGAACAAATACTTTAGGAAGAGTACTTTTCTAATCAAAATAAGAAATAAAAGCAAAATAATCATTCGAGGATTAATTCTACTTTGATTGGTAACTAAAATCTAATATAAACAATAGTAAAACTTATTAATAAGGAACTAAAAAATCATATAGAGAATTTATATATGCAGAGATTGAATCATCTTCTTAATTAAGAATTCACTTGAAATTCATCCATTATAGCTAGGATGGACAATGAATATTTATTAATGATTCAATGGATAAAATGATCACAATCCTAGATAATATCAGAACATTTTTGTATGTATTAGAAAAAAATCAGCCTTATGATAAAAATATTTTAGCCAAATTCAAAGTCATCAAATAGTTTAAAGCCTTTCCAAACTATTTAAAACTTAGTGAGAAATAGTTGGAATTTGTTAGTCCATGTTTTACTAGATATCTTGCTTTTGATCAGAAGAGGAGACTATTTATTGTGAGGGATTTAATGACTGAGGAAATAATACTAGAAATTCCAGCAGATATTTTAAGTTCAGAAAAAGAAGACTCAAATATATAATGGTCAATTAATAGAATCAAATTTATAAATGCATCGACCATCAAAATAGTAAATATTGATGGAGTAGAAAGTATTTTTGACATAGATTAGAATTTCTAATAAAAGTCATACAATGTTATACCACTATTTAATAAAGTTGATGGAATTGAATATCAAATGCACAATTACTATCTAGAAAGAAATAAGTTGAGTAGTGAAGAACTTTTAAAAAGATTGCAAAGAATATACCAGAATTACAAGAGTAATCATCTAATGAAAGAAAATGTTTCAAATGAATAACTTTTAAAAGTGATGTTTAACACTGATATATCAAATCTTTATATACAGGAAACAAGTTTCACATATTTTCATTGGTCTTTAATATATCAACTAAAACACGATTAACTAAAACTTGATGATTTAGAGCCAAGCCTTGTTCACACACTTATTTATAACATTCTACCGGGTGGAGAAACTATTTTCCATGCTTTGTGTGGAAAAAAAGAGTAAATGCAAAAGCTTATGGAAATATGTCATACATCAACAGACATTATATTTCATTTACCTTTAATTCCAGATTTTAAAGGTAAAACTCCTATTCATAAATTGATTGAGCAAAATGACTTCAGAAGTATCAATATGGTTTTAAGATACTTGGCCTTTTATGAAATGGATCATCATTCAAGATTTTTTTTAAAGGATGTCTACTTTAAATTCTTAGAGAAAGAACTCCCTAACTTTTTAACTTATCTGAATTCAGTACTTAAAAGGACTCCAACATTAGCTAAGATTGAAAGAGGTTTACTTAAACATAATTATCCTTAGGTTTTCCCATCAAAAATATGGTATAGAGACTAAGAGATTAATCAGGTTTTATTCCACTAAAATTTGTTAAAGGTTAGAACTCATGTTAGATTGGATTTTATTGACCTTCCAGGCATTTACCATTATTAGGATCCAAACTTCGAGAAATTCATCCATTAATTAGCAGAAACTAAAAACTTTGAATACTTTACAATACCCTCAATCCAGAGTTTAATTGAGTTCAATTACAAAACTGTGCAGAGATATATAATTTATGTTATTATCATTCCTCACTTCATTTTCCATTTCATATTTGTTTGCTACATGAATTTGGTTTATGAATACAGGAAAGATAATGAATCCTATATAGCAGCTAATATTGTTTTATGTATAATAATGGCTGTTTTTGCATCATATTTTCTTTATGGTGAACTTAGACAGCAATTAAGTTAAGGTGTTCATTATCTTTAAAATGTTTGGAATTATATAGATCTTTTGACTCCCATTAGTGTGATTACCTTTTTGATACTTTAATTCCTAGATGAAATGAATATTGATATCAATTAAGATTTTATGAGAAGCATAATGGCTCTTGCAACTTTCTTTATGTGGTTAAAGATATTTTATGCATTAAGAATATTTAGGAACACTGGATATATGATAAGATCAATAGTTGAAGTAATCTAAGATATGGGTATCTTTTTACTCATACTATTCCTCACTATTATAGCTTTTGGAGATTCATTTTTAAGATTATCTTCTGGCAATGAAGAGGGATTTATTGACAATTTTTTTATGAGTATTGTTTTTACATACAGAATGATTTTGGGTGATTTTGAGACAGATAACTTTGGAAACGTTGCTCTGCCTTTGGCAATAATTTTCTGGTTTATGTGTACTATCCTTGATATGATTGTAATGCTTAATCTTCTTATTGCTATAATATCTGCAACTTATGAAAGAGTTGCTTCTAATTCGGAAAAAGCAGCATATCAGGAAATGGCAAAGTTAATTTATGAAAATTAATACTTGATTCCCTAATTTGTAAAGGAAAGTTATGCTCCAAAAAATCAATACTTGATTCATGTTACTAATCAACAAAAAGTTGTAGGTTAAAATGACCATCACATTGCTCATCAAATCGATAGAAATAGTTACTAGAATTATGGAAGCATTCTAAATGAGAAAGAAGGAAATAAGCAGACGGAGATTGTAAGGTTTAAGAGGATATAGATAGCCATCAAAAGTAATTCAAAGGATATCTAATAGAGTTAAATCATAAATCTCGAATGATTGAACATTCTTCAGTTTAGTTTAGAATCCATTCTCATTAGCTGATAAAGATGACAGTTGGACAATATATGCTGAGTATGAATTAAAAAGGAAATGGAGTATTTTGTGATGGAAACAAGTTACAAAAGTGCTAATCAGGAATGATTCCATTATAGAGTGAGCTTAGAAATGAAGAATCTGATGTGATATATCACTGCTATAAGTGTCAATTTGATTACTGTGATACTTGCTACAATCATTACGGACCTAATTCACATTAGCACTAATTAGTTAGGACTACCTACAGAGAGATTAAGAAATAGACTTCTTATCATAATGGATGGCTATGTGATGCAAGATTTTTCACACCTTGTGAAAACAAAGAGAAATTTCTAACTGATGAAAAGGAGATCATTTATCATGACGAGTACTGTGATTTTAATCTCTGCTCTTCATGTGCCATAAATTATTATGCCTGAATTCTGCTTTTGATTCATCATTGATTATTTTATTGTCAATTAAAAATATTTAACAATTTAAATAATATCTATCAAGTTGGGGTTTTGGGGTTTTGGGGTTTTGGGG